AGAAAACCAATTTGAAGTGAGAGAAAACATTTTAGTGGAAAAATTAATGCATCCCATTGTTATAAAATCATTGATGCCCATCTTGAAAAGAATAAAATCAATGACACTGGTTTCATATTTTACACTGAAGATGCAGGATAGAAATGAATAACTGGAGGGTACAAACTTCTAATAATTTATCTTAGAATATGCCTCAGAATTTCTGAAGCACAACAGAAACCAGTAAGCATTACCTCAAAATTTTTAGTTTTCTTTTACCAAAATATGTGTGTTTTTCTTGTGTCAGTGACTTCAATATTATAGGAATAAAACATCTAATACAATGAATGTATTATCTATAGAATTCAAAATACTGAAGGTATATTTGGAAATAAATTTATTCTATGTATGAAATATAACATTAGACCAAGTCACAAATTTAAATTTTATATTAGAATTACTAAATATTAGGATTAATATACTAGAACATGAATAGCTTTGAATTCCTAATGTGTGAATATGGATTCATAAAAAAAGACATAACCAAGAAATTTACACATTTTATTAAAGAACAAAAAAAACAACACAGAAATAGCCTACTAAAATGAGCTGCATAATGCACACTTTTAGACACAAACAAGCAGTACAGCACTATAACTTGGAAAAAAAACAAAAGAAATCAAAGCATCTGCCCTGTAGATAGCAGCTGAGGGAATGAGCTATTGCATTTTGAAGGCAAAATATTATGGGCACAGTTTATATTTACAAAATATTGTGATCATTATTTAAATCTATAATTGTTGCACGGGGTTAATAATTTTCTTATTTATAGGTATTTTTAAATTGACATTTTTCTCCCCAAATATGTGCTTCCATTTTCTACATTATACTGGATTGTTTTTATATGCATAAAGTTAGCCCTTACAAAAAGAGTATATTTAGGAACATCTTTTTTGTAATCTTAATTTAAATTATTGTGACCTGGGGGCATGACAACAAATGGCTCATTTTCTAATAACTAAAGCAGCAACAACAGTAATAAAAGGAAATCTATTTTGAAAAGGGCAACCTCAGAATCCAATGCTATGATGGTCATATCATTCTCTCAACTGCTAGACACAAAAGACATAGCAACAAAATAATTTGTTTTCCATCATTAACAAATAGCATCTGTATACAGAAATAAACCTTCGGAACCATGCAGTTCTATGACAGATAAATCTTTAGGTTGTGTGTTTTGAGAGAAAAGAGCACTGCTTAAAGTAGGGTTACTTTTAGGTCTTGTTACAGAGGTATTTTATTAATTAAAATAATATGATGTAGAAGATGACTAGTGAGGTTTCTTGCAATATCTACAAAGAGCTGTGACTTATTTCATAGTGATACATTTTTCCCTTTAGGTATGCTATAACTCAGGATGGGTTCTATTTAAGGATAAAATTTCTCTGGAATAATCCTGCTTTGGAGTATTGATGGGTGGTTCTCTTCCAGGCGAGGACAAGTGAAGGGGCTGGAAACTGTCTGAATTAGTCAAACTAACCCTTTCCTGGGCTTAATAATAGAGGTCTTTTTTTGGCCTCAAGTTATTCACATTCTGTTATACTTCATTCTCTAATTTTACTTATTCAAACACAGCACTGTGTTTAAGCTCCGAAGAGGGTGACCCAGTGGTTGTCAGCATGCACAACATGCCATCAATTAATTGGATATCTTTTGTGATGCTTCCAGCTTCATTCTTAGTATTTTACAGATGGTTCTTCCTGACTTAAAAACTTACTATATTTCTATTGACCTTATGAAAATATATTCTTGTGGCTTATAGATTTACAAGAAATGTCAACGCAAGAACATGGGTTAAGTTGGGAAAATATGTTGGTGATAAGGTTGAGGTTGGAGTTCCTAACTACAGAATGAACGAATGCTTACATTTTATATGAATGGAAATGCTGGTCAGATGGTCAGGCTGTTAGTTGTATGGCTGACTCTGATTATGGGCTGAAGGGGGAATAAAAGAAATTTCTAACCAACTGGCCCTGAGCTATTGGACAACTGTAAGGCTTGGATTGCTTTCTGGCTTTGGCTTATTTTCCCGTCTCTGTAGGTGAGAACTATCAAAATGGGTAGCAAGACTAATACCAACTCCCCCAGTCCCAGACTAGGCTCCTCCAGGGCAAGGGCATCACAGCCCCAGATGTGAAAGACTCCAAGTACCTGTGGTAATCTAGCCTTAAACCTTTCTAACCTTGACCTTTTCTAGGCCTCATTGCCTGGAGGCAACAAAAAGTTAAATGGTGATCTGTTAGGTGATGTGGGAGCTGAAATTGGCAGAGATGGTCTGATTGAAACATTATTTTCCAGCTCTGATGGATGTAAGATTTTGGCTGTTTCTCTTCTGTTTAGTTAAAACAGCGGGACGCTGAAGTGGCACAGTGAAGCACTTTCTAATCTGGTAAAGGTGAGTCAGAAAACAGCTTCCACTGAACAGGTATAAGGTAAATAAAGCCATTTCTAAACTTGTGCCAGGACCATTTTTTCCTTTGTTGAAGGGAATGAAATGCCCTGTGCTGGCACTGCTTAACCGTTAAATTACATCCTTCAATGGTTGCCAATTTGGTTTTGGGTTCTGGATCTTAAAGGGGAAATAGTGGTGCAGGTTAACAATTTGATTGTCGCTTAAATACATATTAATTGATGTAACTGATATACGTGAATTTTCTGTGAAAGATGAAATCTAACTTGATCATAATGGGAAGATCCATCTTGTAATTTACAGAGTATTTCACTGCTTGCAACCAGTGGGGAAAAAAAACATCAGCCAGAAACCTGCCTGGTGTGTGTGTGTGTGTGTGTGTGTGTGTGTGTGTATGTTTACAGCAAAGATTAATTTAAAAAGCAAATAATTTTTGCTAGTGGTCTTGCTAAAAGATGAAGTATTTTTTACTCTTGTTCAGTGTTGTTAACTGAAGTTGACCTGTTACCTACTACCAGTCTTGTCCCAGTACCAGTCTCTACCAGTCTTGGGTCTTTTGGTGAGCTGTAGCAAACAAGAGAGCCGCCACAACAGCAAAGCAACATCATGCTTTAGTTAAGTCTATAGCAAAAAAAAACCCCTCCTTCTCAAAGCCTTAGAAATAATTCTCTCTTACTAGCTTTTCCACTATTATCACAGACTTCTTATATTTAAAAAAAAAGCTCCAAGGATTGCTTTCACAGACTATGTACATAAGTGCAAAAAAGGTGTGTCTCACACGTTCGCACCCTAACTGAGACAATCAGTTAACTGCAGCATATGTCTCTTAAACACTGTTAAAGGGTCATTCCACAGTATCTTTATGTATGCGGTTTTACAAATATGAATTAATTTTAATCTACGTGTTTGTCATTCTTTAATTCTCATTTGGATATATTTGTATAAGTATGTAATTCCAGAAGAGAGAATTTTTGTAGCTACAGCTATGCCACTTGAATAGATTAATTTTGAATAAAGTTATGAAAAAAAGGTCAGGTAATGTATTATAAATACAACCATTGTGTTTTAAAGTCTAGATACTGTGGAATAACCCTAGCCACACAACAAATTCTATAACCTATAAAGCCTGATTCTAGTATCCACGTGTTGTAAACTTTTTGATCAAAAAGTCACACAAAGACACAAATTCAGCTTTCACGTGGGAATTTGGGATAAAAAACAATCAACCACAGCTGTTTTCTGAGCTTTGAGCTGTATCTTCTACATGCTCATACTGTCAAAAACCATGTATAGTTTACAAGTAAAATTTTCACAAAAAATGTGTCTAAAGGTAGCCATGTTGTAGTTTTGTTGCTCAAGCAACGACTAAATATAATTAGTTAAAATTATTATTTGTATATAAAGTTAAGTTTGTTCTTAAACTGTGAACTGTAAAGAATAGTTACGGACTATAATCTATATCTTGTCATGCTTCAGTGTCAGTTTAGAACATATGTAGGTGAATTGAATACATGTAGTAAAATCTTAAACTTTCTCTAACTCTCCTTCAAAATTAAGTTCATTAGTTACTTAGAGACATAAAAAAGTAATAAAACAAAAACCTTAACTAACAAGAAAAATGAAAACATGGCACCAATTAGTGAGTTGGTGCTCCAAACTTATATTTGTAATTATATTTACAGTTTGATTAGGCTATCAACTAAATTTGCAAAAAAGTTGTTATATTCTTTTACACACTGTTTATTCTATTGTCTTTGACAGGCACTAGTAAAATTAAAAATTAGGCCACTATCTTCCTAAATCTATTCAACAGAATTGGGAAATCATATTTCCCTCAATCATATTTCTCTATTTCTATTTCAATGTGTGTGAAATGTAGAAGAGATAAAAAGAAAGAGGATTCCAGTTTCTAACAATTGTGTGCATCACAGCCTACTCTACAGACTAAAACACCTTGGAAACCTTGTGGCTGCATTTACCTAAGAGCATCCTCATCTACATTCTCCAAAGGAAGGGGGAAAGAACCAAATAACATTCCAAGTAGCACATGGGCCTTCCCTACATATTTAATAAAATTTAATGCCAATGTTGTCCTTATTCAGACATCACTATGCTTACTGGTCATGCCATTAAAAACAGTTTCAAGTTGTAAAGATTAGTTTTATCCACTTCCTACTGATGGCAGGGAGGAGGTACTTGCTTTTCCCAAATTGGAGAGTGGGTGAGCTGAGGCTGCCCATTCGTGAACACAGCCTAGTGGCGTAGGACAACACTTATGGCAAGATCAAAGTGCTTTAGCATGTTCAAAACCGGATGGAGAAGATTGATGGAGTGGGGAGAAGATGGCTTTTCACATCATGATTAACTACAAATTAAAGACTCTAATCTAGACAAGCGAAATGAAATGCAACAGCTGGTTGTGGAATCATGCTCCAATTGCAAAAGTAAATACTGTATTTAAATAGCAATTTTATGAATCCATTTAATTTTAATTTAATCTTAATCCCTCTTTAAAATATACTTATGTTATGGTCACATAGTGCTTTTTTTAAAAAAAATTGACATTACTAAAATCCTCTTAAAAGATAACTTTTAGATTATATTCTCTGTATACATGACCTGATTTATCCAAGTTTCAGCACTCTTGCGTATTTTTGCAAAAGGCTGAGAGATATGAACAAAAACAATAATTGTGGATAAATAAAAATAGAGGCCCTTGTAAATTACAAAGCTTATAAAATGTTAACTAGAATCACAGGTGATTAGAATTTTATATATACAATTCATCCAGTAAATTTTCGTTTAGAGTCACTGATTAGTTTTGTGACTTGTCTTTTTCACTGGAAATTTATAGTCGAATGACTTACTTTTCTTCTTTTCTTTTCTTGAATAAAGACAACTTGAATAAGTCATTGCACAACTAGTTTAAAGAGTGCTATCTTAAAATTGCATTTATGTCAAAATTCTTTTGCATCTGATCAAAACTTTAGTGCTTTAAATTTTCTTTCTTTAAATTCATTTACAAAGTAACTTTTAAAATGCCAACAATATAAAAAATTGTGGCACCAAAAATACAACTGCTCTGAATATCCCTCACTAAACCTCTTACTAAAAAATGTCATTATTAATGTCTTCCAGAGCTTAAAGCAACATGAAAACCGCTGTACTCTGGGTTTATTGTCAATGTACATCTTCGTCAGAGGTTTAAAAAGTTAAATGAGACAGTTCGTTGCATCAAAATGTCAAACTACACAAAAAAGTTCATTTTGCACTTAAAACGTCTCTATCTCTTTTAAGGAATACATCCAGACTAGCTCAGGTGCATCCTTCCTGGATTTGTGTGATCAGATCTGCCCTTCTGGAGAGGCAGTGGCACAGCTTTATACAAAACTCAGTTCCATACACAAGTAATTTCACAAAGGCATACTCTACTTTCTTCTTTAACAATGTTAAGATTTTGGGAAACAGAAATTAAGTAGTTCAAAGAATCAATAGGTAAAAGTCAGGACATTTCTTGTTTTCTAACTCCAGGCAATACTGTTAAGAGATGACAATGGCGCTATACAAGCAAGAGCATTTAGAAATCACTGATGATCATAATTTGGATTGATATTAAGATCAACAGGATATCAACTACCAAAGAGCTAATTTTGCTCTTTTGTATTCTGAGCCAAATTGATCTGCTTTAGGATAGAGTCTCAAATGTTTTGAAGCACAAACAACATGAAACGGAGGAACAAGTGAGAGCCAGGAGATATTTTGGGGTCTGACTGCCACCAACTAGCTAGGTAGCCTTCGGCAAGTCACATGCCCTGGGCCTCAGTTTCATCAACTGTGAAAAGGTTTTGCCAACTCCATTGTTCTGTGATTCAAACACTACTGCCGGCTTACAATATCCTAAATCAGATTTTCTCTTTGCTTGACATTTCCATGAAGGAAAAAAAACCTGTTGTACACATCAAATGTGATGATTTTATATTTTCCAGCGAGAAAATATATATTTAGTAGAAAATATTAAATCTATCTAAATTGGTGCAAAATATCATATGGTTCCACCACTGTATAATAATAGTAATTTTAATAACTGAGTAGAGTGGAGGAGGTATGCCACATACAATATGAATTAATTACTATTTTACTTGGTTATAAAATTATTTTATAAGTATTAGCAATGTGGATTCAGCTCAGCTCTGCGGAGTGTAGCCACTCTCTTATCAAAAGGGTGCTAAAAACCTATTATAATATTCAACTACATATAAAACAAACAAATCCAAACAAACAAAGGCTTGTTTATGATGTGAGAGACTCTGTTGTTAATAAAGTTGGGAGAGGTCAAGGCAACACTTGACATCTATCACAGGTGCTTGCTCCTTCACTGATGTGTTGAACAAAACGAAACTCAGATGAACTGAAGCGAAAGACAACTGTGCACATCCTTCCTAAACTTTTAAATAAATCAAAGAACAATTTGAAACATTTCCCTGCCCCCCTCCCCCCTCTGCCATTTCTCCACACCTATACTCAGGCTCCAACTGTGATCAATAGAAAAGATTGTCCATTTGGAGAGGAAAGGCCTTACTTAGAACCAATTCTCTTTCACCCTCACTGACTTTTGCTAGATTGCATCTTACTTATTATTCAAGAGTAGTCTAAAGAGCATGAGCCATTTGCATTCGGAAAACGGCACTTGTGTAAAAGGTTACATTGTAATGGTTTTTACACACTTTCCTCCAATATGTAAAAACTATCTTCACGTCCCTCTCCCTATTTAATTCATAACCTGTAATTAGCATACCTTTAAGCCTCTAAGTACCAATTTCTCAGCTGAAGATGACAAATGGCTCAGTTTTAGACACTCAACCTAGGAGACAGGATCCTTGAGCCACAAAAAAATGTAATGGGCACTTTACATAATTTTTAGTATAAATGCTGAGAAATTCATTTTAAAGGTAAGTTTTAGGTTTTCAAGCTATTTAGGGAGTGAAATTAGGGGTTAATGTTTTAACAAGTGTCCTGTTTTTTGCAAGTAATTATTTCTCTCTCACAAAAAATCTAGTAATGTGATCACATTATGCAGGGTCAGATCTGCAGGTACAAATTAAACACAAGCATGTGTATGAACAGGTTTTGTGCACACGCAAAAGTGAGGCCTTTTAAATGTCTCCCCCAAGAAACCTACAGAAATATTCTAAAGAAACAGGGAGCATATTAACATTAACCTAACCTGTTATGTTTTTTAAGCACATATATTTCTGTTTCCCATTAATAACAGTTTAGTTGAAATCAACCACCACACATATACAGCAAAACACTATCGTATGTAAAAACCTAACAGAACACAACACACCACAATACAATACAGTATAATAATGAGGAAAATGGTACTGGATAAATCTGTTACATTCTAAATTAACCCAATAGACTACTGTGTAAACAAAACAGTAAGGTAACACTTCAAAACAGACGAACATTTATCCACCAAGAATGCACAGTAAGCCAACAGTTCACTGTGGAAATTCACCCAGCATAATGGTTATTGGAAAATTACAAAGAATAATGTAACAAATTGAAAATTTTAGGGTCATAGTCTACCTAATAATTCAAATAAGATAGGCAGTAGTTATTAGTTTTCTATTTGTGTTTTAACATCTGCATTGATTGCATAATGCTTCATTTTTTGTTTGAATTTGTTGGTTGGTATGTTTGTTTTGTTTAGTATATTAACTGCACCACGCTTATTGTGTTGGTAGAAGAAGACATACGAGAATATATATAGAAAGGCCATATGGAGGTTCTCACGGAGAGATTCTGATACTCCATAACTCTGTTGTTCAGAATTTCAACTGAAATGGAAAAAAAAAACAAAGAGTGAGAAACACTGAAGCGTTATTGAAGTAGGAGTCAGGATACTTGGTTCTTGTTCCAGTTCTGTGTGTGAACTATGCCAAGATATTCCTCTCTCTGAGTTTCATATTCTACACCTGGGAAAATGGGGCTGTTGGAAATGGTCACTAAAGAGTCATACACTATGATAGTCTATGGTTCTCATTGAGTGCTAACGTAGAGAATCGCCTTAAGTTAACAGAGATGCACTCAATTGTTTAAAGCATTGTCTACACACTGCCAAAACCTTTTGATGAACATCCACCCATCCATCCACTTCCTTCGACAAGCAGATATTGAGAGAACATGTTTGATACCAAACATTTTGAAATATGCAAATATTAAATAAACTTTAAACTTTTTATCTGAATGTTTTGGAGCCATGCAGAAATAGCCTAAGTGTGAAATCTAGGTACATAGTATTTTACAAAATTACATTTTTGAACTTTGGAGAAATTTTTAACATCTGTTACATATTGATGTGATTACAGTGTGCCAAATACCTCTCAATTTTCTAATGGAATCAAGCAAAAAGGAATCACTGTTACCAAACACATTCTGCTGGAAAGTTAATTATATTTGACAACTTTTGTTTACCTTGATATGTAGCAGCCCATGGAGAATCAGGCAGGTCTGCAAAGCCTGTATTCTCGGGTTTGCTGCTATACCCAAGTTGCCACTATCCCAAATGATACCCCTGAAAACGATTACAATTTACAGCTCCTTTGTTATTCCATGTACTCAAATGTCTTATTAAAACATTCTTTATGTTTGAAGGGATCTATTTATCTAAGGTACAGTTAGCTATAGGCTCTGACCAGAACAGTTAGTGTTCTGGGCCTGTGTGTCCTCAGCAGGAAAGAAATGCTAGCCAGGTTCTGAGGAACTAGGCCAACAGGAGCATGGAACTGTTGCCTCCTTCACCCAAATGAAACACTCCAGTTGTGAGAACTTCAAACTTTCAATGACTAATGTATGCAATTCAGAATTGGTACACTTGTTTAATAAGTCCCTCTAATTAATTAAGATACCTAGGAGTCTTAAGTGACTTCAGATGTCACATGTTCCAAGTGAATGATTGCTCCAATTAAATGTGTGCTATTACAGGCTAAACCAGGCAAAGAGGAGATCAAGGATAAAGGGGGAAAATCCAACAATGACAAAAATTACCAAAAAAAGTCATGATTTGAATGAAAATAATGATTAAAGTACTCAATTATGTCACTCAAAATTCAAAACAGCTGAGCAATTCTGATAGACTTAAATGGGAAGCAACACAAAGAGGCTGACTATAAAAGCACTATTTTCTATAATGTCACAGGAGAAGCATATTGTTTACTGTCTTTAAGAAAACCATCTCAGTCAAATTCTGACAAAATTACATTGCTTTAACTTCAATAAAAAAAAATGAAGCTAGAAAAATGTTGAAGAATTAAAATTCAAAAGTGATCTATGCTTTTGGCTAACAAATCATACCCCTTCAATAACAGGAAAACATTTCAGAGTTTGTAAGTTCATTGGGAAAATACAGTACCAGTGGTCATTTTCATATAAAAAATTTCACATTTGCTATCTACATCTCATTTTGGAAAATTTAGAATGCTTAAATCAATTTCTAAGTTGTAAGCAATGTCTATTAATGAAACTATTTGCCAAAGCCTTTAGCAAATTCAATTGTGTAAATAAAATATATAGCCTATAAATATTATTTACATTAATACTTAAAGAAACTTACTGTTCTACTGGTAACTTCTACATCTGTGAAACAAACATGCTGCTATTCAGTTCATCTATTGATAATGGGGGTATCTATAGTAGTAAAAAAGATTTTAGATTAAAACAGTTTCTTGAGAGAATTCTGTTTATTTTGTTCACTGCTTGGACATGGTAGTTAATAACTATAATCAATTTCACAGAAAAATTTAGACATATTAACCATATCCACTAATAGTTCATTTTGCAAAGCACAGATTAGAATGTGGTTTGTTCTCCCAATGAATTAATGCTCTGTGTGCTATATGGTTATCATACTTGTAAATGAAACAGCAGTGGAACTTGCAGTTTTTAAGCATGATTACCACTTTAACAAGGCAAAAAGGCCATAACATTACACAATAATTATTGTATGTATCTCCTTACAATTTCAAGACTCCCCCACAATTTATAACTTGCCATGTGACTCTGCCTGTAAATACCTAAAGCAAGTAAAAATTAAAAGAACACAAGCACAGCTAATGTCAGTATGAGAAGGAATTTCTGATGTAATCACTGGATAATGATATCTGTGCCTTGGAAAGAAATATGTTATCTTGCTTTCTTTCCAGTATATCTGAAGGTAAAGATGATGATTGTACTAAGTGAAAGTTCAAATGCAATAATCAAAAATGGTAGTAAAATAAAATAAATTCTCCTCTCGACTAATGACGAAGTATTTAAGAAATACTTAGTATATACATTTGAGGATTGGTGTGGTAGCAACAATCGTATATATAGCATATCAAGAGTGACATCTGTTAACCGATTAAAAATGAGAAAACTGCTGATTCATCTCAGGGTAAGTAGCAAAGCAGATACATCCCTGTAGAACATACACAAAAATAAAAATTCTAAATGTAACAACTGCTTAAGAAACACATAAGAATGTGGACCAATGTCTCTCACCAATCCAAAAAGCATATACTGTGCCTTACCAACACACTGTAGTTATCTAGGTCTAAACAGGTGAAATAAATGGCCAAACCTGATTGCCTGTAGCTGTTGCAGCGAAGGGAACGCTGGTGGCAGGTGTTGTTGCTGCAGACACAGTGGTAGGTGTAGCACCGTGCATCATGGGCACTTTCAGTAGGAAACCAGGGAAGCAACACACAGGAGGGTGGAGTAGTTACGCAACCATGACATAAACGATGAAATGGGGCGTGGTAGGCATCACAGCAACAAGCCATGTGACATCATCATGATGGATACACCAGGGTGCAACATGCAATCACAGTCAGTGCAAAGCAACACAGCATGGAAGGGGGAAAAATTTAAAAAGAGAAAAGGTGAAAGCCAATTATAGTTACCATTAAGGAAAACGGGATCATTCTCAACATTTAGTTAGTTTTTGAGTAGAATCACATTGTAGTTGACTTAAAAGGCCAAATTTTCAGAAGGGGTCATAGTGGGTATATATGACAAAATCTGATTTTTACCAAGGCTATCTATATGAATAGCTAGTTCAGCACACAAGTAACTGGGTTGCACATTCAAAATGGGAGTAAGGAACTATGAAATGTGGTTTGGATTCACTAACATATATATGAGTGCTGTCACTAGATTGCGGATGCAAAGGGACAGTTTTATATATACTTACCTGATCTGCATGCAAAAAAATGGTAGTTTTACTGGTTGCTATACGGTAGGGGAGCAGATAGGAAGAATACAGTGGACTATGCATGCAGGTTTTTAAGTACACCTCTGGCAAATCCCTTGGAAACTTAGGCTGTTTATCAAACACATGGGGTACTTCATAGTAAACATCCAACAACATCTTGTCTGCAAATATTACAGCTACCATGGCTAACAGCTGCAACATCCCTTGCAGGATGTTCTCTCTTTGCCTTTTCTAGTTTCAATCTCATTTTGAAAGGTTTTTAGATGTTTTTCTCATTTCTGGCTCATTTTGGAAAGCAAACCAAGGAATTAATGTGTGAATGGCAAGCATGCATATATAATAATTTATTTCTACATTGACTGAATTCAGATTTTCTGAAAGTCTACAGAGAAACTGAATGGCCTGGAGAGAGAAAAATCAACATATGCAAGGTCACAGAAACCATAAATGTACCCCAAATGGTGACTGACAGAAACTCTGTAGTTATCCCCTACGCCTATCTCTAGTTATCCATTACTTGTAGCCATGCCTTATTGTATTACATGCCAATTCTAAAAACACTCTTATTTTCCTTTTGGGAGCGCAGCAACTATACAGGAAGCAGCACCGCTGAAGCATGCACTTTGCACTCCTACACAGAGATCTTAGGTGAAAAGACAGGGGAGTAGTCACAAAATGTGAAGACAGAGACACATTTCACAAACTTGCAGGTCTGTTCTGCCAATCATATGCATATAATGCTTTTGTTAGTATCAATGGAAATGTTTTTAATTCCTCTAGGGGACAGCCAATCCCTCAATAACAGAGGCCTCATCTCCGTTGCCAGGGTTCACACCCTGCTATGTTAGTGAGTGCTACTATGTGATTGTCATTTTGATCTTCTGTTTTATCTCAACAAACCGTCAGTCCCTTTTGGGCTCTGCATCTACTCTGGTCAACCAATGGGATAGAAGTCAAGCTGTTGCAAACTCTCAAAAAGGAGGAAAGGATGGATTGATATGAGATGGTGAGGTGGAGTGGGATAATTCCTCCTTGTATGGAACAGAGCAATTTTCTCCTGGTCTTTTCCTAGTGCCCATGGAGACTTTAGGAGGGAAACAAATGGTTTCGAAATGGCTACCATATTACATTGGTGGCTAATTGAAGAATTTGTGTGTAACTGGTTGTTAAAGATCACATGCCCCCAAAGAGTCATTTTGAAATGATTCAGTTGTGCCTGATTTCTCTGCAGATGGCGCTTCATCCTAGAACACTATAGAATTCATCACAGAACACTACAGAATGCTCCAGCTTTGCTTAACTCATCCTTTCTCAACTCATCTGATTTAAGCATTGAATCATTTAGATCTTATGGATAATTTTGGAAGTACGAATTTTTTTGCTGTACTTTACAAATAATACATTTGAAATATTTTACAATTTCTTAGTAACAGATGTAAAGCTAAGAACAAAACTCCCCATTCTGGCTAGATAAGAAAATGTTTCAAAATATTTCAGTTGCGATTTTTAGGGTTGTTTTCACCCAGGAAGGGCGGGGTCAGTATTTGGCCACAGTGGCAACCAACTAGGACTTGAGAGTGTAGGACCAGTGTGATTCCACAAAGATGTAAAACAGACAGCATCATATTAAACCTTAAATACTCAGAAAATGTCCAGCCACATCATTCAGTCACTCATCCCTTTCATAGTCACAACAGAAAAACATTTTTTTCAGACTAGAAAAAGTTGAGAATTTTGGTACAAAACCTACCAATACTTGAAGCGGGTGCCATGCACAGTATTGGCCCTGTACACCATGCAGAAAAGCGTGGAAAGTAAAGAAAAGAGATATTTCATTATTAAAGCTTTACTGATAGAAATAATGTTTAACTAGAAAGATATTCTTTGCAATATGAATTAATCAGCACATGCGGTTCCACTAATCTCCCAGGCTTACAATTACAGTTTAGTTTTAAGATCACAAACCCCGGTAATCAAAGTAATTCTTGGATTCTTAGGTATAAAAAGAAACATTAATTTTTCTTTCAAAGAAATACCTCAGTTAAATTACATATTTATTTTGGACAACTACATCCTAATTAATTTTTATCACGAAAGGGAGACTTTTAATTCATTACACTTATTATTTTCAAAATATGCACCAGGATCTGGTACCTGGTGCCAATAGTTCTATTTAGAGCGTTAGTCTATTATCACTGCCTCCTCCACCTCACAACCGAGGACTTGACTGTGAACATATGGCAAATAAGCTTTTCATCAAGAGCGGGCTCTCAGCCCAACAGGTTTTTATTTTGCTATTAATTAAGGGGAAAGGCATGCTTCTGACATTTGTGATCATAAATCTAGACTTTAAATTAGCCAAATCCAACAAAAAAGTATAAAAACTATAAAAAATGAGTTTTTTAAATGATATCACGAAGAACTATTGTGGTTAGTAACTAGACAAATGACTGTTTTTTATGGTTTCTTTCAAAATTAATTAACTGATTAATTTATCAAGTAACCAATGGGTTTCTTCAACTCCGGGTATACAATACTATGTGTTTAGTATGTTTATATAATTAAGAAGGCTTTCTAAATTAATTTTTAAAGCATGTCATTTTCATTTAATAATAGTTTCCAAACTGGGGCATTTATCATTCTGGCAATAAAAAGAAAATTACTGAACTCCCAGTGGATAGTACTTTCACTTATTCCTAAGAGACTATATGCTTGTTCTTAAAGTACTAACCCACTGGAAGAACAGTATTTCCCCCCATATAAGATATTTATTTGAACAAAATTCTGGCTTAAAATTTTCTATTCAGTTTAGTGCAAATCTGTCATGCTATTAAATATAGTTGAATGTAGGAGGTAAAAAGTATGCTGCAAAGTGTCAGGAAAATATGATAAACTGCTATATTTTTTTATATTAACTCACTTAAGAGTCAGAGGCTAAAACTACCTGTTTTATATATATATATATGAAAGTGCATATATATATATATATATATATATATATACACACACACACACACTATACTGTGATATAAATTTAAGGGTAGTTTTATTATAACTATCTTAGGCAAATCAAAGGTATATAGACTGCATATTTTTGCAATGCTAAAGCTGGGAAACACTTTTTTGAGGGTAGATCACTATATTTGAAAGTGATACCTAAGAGTCAAGAAATTAGTTTGAGACTGAATCAAGTGAATCAATCATAAGAAGCAAAAATTAGGAAATGCTAAAAAGAAAAATGTTGACAGTTTTTTCTAGTTTGATTTCAAACCATTAATTTTCAGGAATCATAGAAAAACAGTTCTATATACTAGCAGATCAAGCATAACTGCCTTGTTTTATTTCTAATCAGGATACCTGTCGACAGTCCTTGCATAAAAGCTCTTTGGAAGCTGGAGTGCATTGTACACATTCACAACATCACTAAACTCACAGTACCCAGAGCCCTGTTCTCACCTGCAGGGATAAAAGCCGGCTGCGGGAGCTGCAGGTTAGCCAGAGCCTGTTGGCAGTGGAAAACACTGGGATTAAAGACCGGGGTGGCACCATTGGTCTTTTCAAGTGCCGATCTCTTTGGTATCAGTTGAAGTGCACCAGGCTGTAGGGCCTGTGAGGGAGGGATGGATTAATAAACAGTACCAAAGAATGTAAAAAATGTACTCAAACCAAGCAAGCAGCAGTTAGATAAGATACGGCCTGGGAACCCTTTGCAAGGGTGTCCATTGAGCAAGATAACCAACTGCAGAGATGAAGCAATTCACTAGATGAGCACTTAGTCCAAATAAAAATAAATAACATACAGGGAGAAAACAGCTTTTCAACTTCACTAATTTCAACAAATAAAAAAAGAACCTCATCATTTGGGCAGGATGTGACAGGAAGCTGTCAACAGCACATAATCATTTAAAATTAACATCTCAGGGACTCTCATTTATTAACCTACTAAAATGAGATTAGCAAAAGCAACAGATACAACAGAAAAGAGGTTTTTGCCAGTTAAAATTCCGATATGAATCTAGGAGATAGATGGTATACAGGTGATAAAACAGATGTCAGTAAATCAGAGTGTGATCCTAGAGCTCTATAAAACAAAATCCAACTTATACAAGGACTTCAGGTCCAAATCCTATAACTGTATCTTTCCCAACTAACATGTAAGGAAAAAGTAAATGAATTATTCCTCTCCCCCCCACCCACTTCATCCGGATACCACAGATAGTTAGCAAAATATATGCAATTCTCATTTATAGAGGCTTGCTGTGCATTTCAGTATGTACCATTTGCTTTGTTAAGTCCTTATATGGTTTAATTCTAAAACATATTAGCATTTTAAAATCCTCCTTTCATGTGTACAATTCTTTCAAAATCCCACTGTGCTTATAAAACTCAATCAAACTTGCCCCTGGAAAGGATTCATTGGAAAAGTTTGACATTGCCTTTCATTTTTTTCTCAGCAAATTGCATATTACTTAAACAACATGTCCCAGCAACAACAATTAGGTATGCTCCAAATTCTTAAGGAGACAGGAACCCTAGTGCTGAGTCACTAGCCTTCCACATGCCAAAAAGGGGCATGCCATGACCTCCTGATTCTGTGGATAAAGAAGGCCTAAATGTATCGCTATTTTCATTTGAGAACTAAATATCAACTTTTCAAGTCTTTTTTTTTGTTTTGCTGAGGAAGATTGGCCCTGGGCTAACACCTGTGCCCATCTTGCTCTATTTTATATATGGGACGCCGCCACAGCATGGCTTGATAAGCGGTGTGTAGGTCTGCACCCGGGATCCAAACCTGCAAACCCCAGACCTCCAAAGCGGAGCGTGTGAACTTAACCACTACGCCACTGAGCCGGCCCCTCAAGTTTTTTCCTTTTAAATGCATACAAGCTACTTTCAGTGAAGTCAACCTGAACTATGCACATGAACATGAACAGGGTAAAAAATCTCTGTTTCACAAAGCATTTCAACTCTGAATCCTGAAAAATATAGAAAGCTTAAATTTCTTTAGGAAGCCTCCTTTGTTTTTTTTTTTTTTTTTTAAAGATTTTATTTATTTATTTTTCCCCCAGAGCCCCAGTACATAGCCGTCTGTCATAGCTGCACATCCTTCTAGTTGCTGCACGTGGGACGCGGCCTCAGCATGGCTGGAGGAGCGGTGCCTCGGTGCGCACCCGGGATCCGAACCCGGGCCGCCGGCAGCGGAGCGCACGCACTTAACCGCTAAGCCACGGGGCCGGCCCGAAGCCTCCTTTGTTTAGTCTTATCTCAAACAAATTCCTATGGGCCAATTCGACCTCACCACTAAGACTCTGCTCTGATCAGTTACTCAGAAAGGAATTTTATATTGATGTCTAAAAGTACCAGTTGAAGGCCTACTATATAATATTTAACTCTCTACATGGAAATTTGTGGCTAACTCATATGCATTCTACCAAATACACCCAAATTATCAGAAATGGGCACGTACATCTGAAGGCCCCATGACTAAGCAAGGGACAGGTGCAGAATGGCACAAGCAAGCCATTCCTTGTACATCCAATGCATATGAGAACCTTTATTTTTAAGGGGCCAACTGTATTCCTCTCCTGTATAATAGACTCATGCCCCTTTCTGAACTCTGTGCCACAAACAGAAATAATCCAAAAATTGGAGACTTAAATTCTGCATTGAACATTCTGGATACTTTCCTGTTTTCAAGCTTAAAATTCCCTCGTTCAAAAGAATTTAAGAAAAAAATATTTGGTGAAGCCTTTTTTAACATTCGTTAACAGATTATGTTGTTCAGATCAAGGGAGAAAATAAATTTGTTCTACTTTGGGGCTCAGATCTTTCACAAAGTAATGGGTTTAGTTCTGAGAGAACACGGGTATTAAGAAAATGGAACAAGTCCAAAATTGGTGCGGGGTCCTTAAAGCCATATTCTATGAGAAAAGTTTGGAGAAATTTGGGGTATTTGGCTTAGAGAAAAGACATGAGAGTCACACTCATATGAAATAGGGATGGATTTATTTTTGTAATTAAATAAGTGTAAGTCCCAGTTATAGCAAGATAGATTTCAACTCAACATGAGAAAAAACTTCTTAACAGAAAAGTATGCTAAAAATAAATGTATCTCTCTTATGAAAAAGTAAGGCCTGTGTCACGGGCTTGAGGGTCATGTAGATGATTTTTTCCACAGCCAGGAAACATGAGGTTTCCTCAGGGTTTTGTCCCTTAATGAGGTTAGACCCTAATACAAGAGAAAAGGCCCAGATTGAAAAAGAAAGAAACAGCAAGCTGTCTATCAAAACAACTGATAGCTGTGACAAGTTTAAGTAATCACAATTCCTATTTCTCAACCCATCACACGGTAGTGTTATGCAAATATTTTTCCTACCTCCTACCTTTCAGTGTTAAGTAGAACTAACTTTTCCCCCAAACTGACTTGCTAGGGCAACTCAATAGCCAGGCTTCTTCTCTCAACCATGTGGAAATTTCCCCCAGTCTTGGCTGGATGCTATCTTGACACCCCACCTCCACAAAGGAAAGAGAACCTTAACCTATGGAAAATTAGAACCTACTTACCATCCCATCTTCCAAGGCCTCTGTTTTCGAAAGGCATTAAGGATGTTACTAGCAAAGTGCCCAGGAAGGTGGCTCACAGGGCAGGGAGGCAATTTTCTGCCATTTTAGGAATATTAAGGTTAGTTAGGCTATAAAAAACACTCAAAAATAATTTACTGTTTAAATTATATAATTTACTCTTTCTCAAAAAATGGGAGAAAAAGCACAGTAGATTAAAATTATTAGTAAAGCTTTTAAACAATTATGTTTAGAAATTTTTATTGAATGAATTAGAATAAATAGCTTCTCTCTTTTCTAGCTTATAACCTTGGCTATTCATATTAAGGCCCACTCATGACTATCCAAGATTATGGTTACAGGATATTAGACAAGTTGAGGAATATACTAATCATTTACCCCAAAACAGTCCACAAGTCCTGGCCTGTTCTTACCATCGCGTTGGCAGCTGAATGGTTCATCTGGTGATGAGCTGCCTTGAGTTTGGCTTGCAAGTGTGCAGGAGGATGAAAGTACTTGCATTTCTCCCGGGAACATCGACCTTTGATGTAATCCATGCAGATAGTCACAGTATTATCACTTGCCTCAATCATGGAAACATCTGTGGGGTGAGCATAGCGGCAATCGTTCTCACCACGGGTACAATTTCCACGTTGAAATTCTCGGCAAACCTCCAAGAGAAAGAAAACACATCACATTCATGCCTGGAAGGTGATTAACTTTTATTTATTTTGCCAGTGAATGTAAGAGCAATAGTATATATTATTTTGTCATCTATTTATGAGAAATCTAAAAAGCTGAAAGATAGTGTAAAGCCATATACACTATGAGATGTAAACAGACAACATTTCTATTCCTAGAAAAAAAATTCTATTCTTCCCAAGGGAGAGTCATCTGTTTTCCTTACGTTGAAATAAAAGTGCTTAAAAGTATGGTTGAAAACCAATTTTTAATCCTCCACTCAACACATAGCTTAAAGTGTAATTAGCTGAGTTTGCAAGAGGGGGTTATTTTGCTAAGGTCCAAGATGAGCCTTTTCACACAGCAATGTGCTTTGCCACAAGCAGACTTGTGGACCATGACTGAATCACGTATACAATCAGATTCCATGAGGATACATTGCAAAGCATTTAAGGAGCTGCCAACAGAGCTGACTTTGTAAGAGATTGACTAATTATTTATTTCAATTTATGAAGAATTACAATAAGAGAAGTTTGAAGGCCTTCCACAAATCAAAAAGCTGTTTGAAATTTCTTTTAAATTTTCTTTTCTAAGGCATCAAGGGATATTTATTATCTAGTACATCATTCTTAAAATGGAGAAAAAGGTTTAGACACTATGAGACTCATTTACATTCTGTATTCATAGATACTTAGATTAGTCTACTTTTTTTTTTCAGTTTGATTATTCTGGCAAGAAGAGACTCATCAACAAATACAGTAAGCCCAGTCTGGAAAGGTGAAGCCTGGGTAAAAGAAGCACTCCCACCAGACTTCCTGTGCCATAGCAAAGGAGATGCACAGTCTGTGGTTGGGTACACCAAGACATTGTTCGACCTACTGTACAACTGAATCAGTGCACTTCAGAACAGGGTATAATTGCAGTAGTAAAATGTTTAACATTTGTCTGAGGTTGTACTCCATAAGCTAAAAAACCCAGGCACACTTATTTAAAGCATCCAAAACATTGAGCTCTGAGAATGTTGCTTTATGCATAAGATTAATGTCTACCCTATACATATTTATACATTTCTACCCAAATACCTCCAATTTATCTGAACGCATCAGTTTTGGACCAGCAGCTCCTGGCAATGCGAGAGGCGGGTTTCCAGAAATCAGAACAGGTGCATTTGGTAACAGTTCGGCAGGAACCAGGCCCATTCCAGGATGAGGTAAGTAAGGATTGAAAGCCATGGCAGGATTAGCTGCAAGTGATGGAGTCATAGGAAAAGAAGCCTGTGTGTTTAAAAGAGAAAAAAGGTGTTAGAGGCAAGCAGATTACTCCTATTATTACACAAGGAGGCATTCTTTCAAAAACCCTAAGCCATATCAAAATTTACCATTGTGCCCTCTGATTAATTTTAGTCTCATACTAATTCCCATTATAAGAATTTCTTATAAACCAGCAAATCTCTTTGAGTAACAAATTTATTGGTAAACTGATAAAACAAGCCACATAGTTTTAACAGTCATGAATTTGCCAAATTAAATCTCACTGATGGAGTCGGTTCCAAATGTCAACAGTGATATCAGACATACGGGCAATCTGCCTGGTCTCCTTACACAGGCACGGCCTTTGCAGGCCGACTTCAGGTTCTCTTGAAGGCCCTCTTTGTTTCATACGCCACCTTCCTCTTCCCCATCAGTACTGCTTGACTCTAAGGCTGCCTGTGCCACCACAGTTCCCACCTGTCTACCAAACACTTGCTTCTCTTTTTGGCCCGCTATCAATTATTGAAGACAGCAAGGAGTTGAGGAAGAAAGGGCTAGATTAAAAAGAGTGAGAACTCTAACAACTTCTTGCCGTCTACCTAAAATAAGATTGGTGTGGTCATTTTTTTTTTTTTAATTAGGGGTCCTATTTCACAAACTAATCTGACTTGCTTAGGTAGGGGGCCAGGTGATAGCCACAGTTCAAAAGGAGGCCATAAAAATGCTACAAGGACCCCTGTTAGGCAGGAAGAAATAAGATAACAGGATTATAAGGTACATAAACTAGACTATAACTTGTAAAGAAAAGCCTTAGAAATGCAAAAGCCTCTTACTGGTGTTTCTATTTTTTGAAAGTCCTGATCTCAAAGAGTTTGATATGTGCATTGCCTTTATTATCTGTAACCACACAATTTATCACTCCACTATTCTGTTTTCCAGTTTGTTCCACATGGGGGTGTCTTTTCTTCTCAATGTGGTTATAATTTCTTTGATAGTTCTCTTTTCTCCCCCTATAGTACCCAATACTTAGTGAATGACTGATTGAGTGATATAGTCAATGATAAAGTTTAAAAATAAATGTAAATATTTTAATGAATTAATAAATCATGGTTAAATGTAGTACATTTCTAATTGTGACTCTATAAGGTAGTTAGTGCATTGTTGTGCAACTGGTGGTGTCTCACTCTGTATTACTAATGGCATGTGTTCTTTCTTGCTTTCTTCTTATTTCTTTCACTAAAAAAAAATAATGAATCTGTTGCACTGTCAAGCTGTGCCCACACCTTCTGTTAAATCACATTAATAGAAATAGCTCTAAATACAAGCAGAATAGGAGGCTGTGGAGTGTGAAGTAAGGAGCAATATATATTCACTGCCCCACCTCCTAGTCTGACGTGTAATTTTCACCAGCACAGCATTCTCCATGAAGCCTGTGTTATAAACCACACTCAACTTAGAAGGAAGGGCTTCCCCATTAGCACTCTGCCTTAGATGAGTTTATTAAATTAGCTAATTGGCGCATTAGGAAGGACAGAAAGAACCTGGCCCCCCCTGAACTGGCAAGACTCACTAGAGTGAGTATAGAAGGCATGGTGGCCAAGAGCTTTAAGAGGAAAAGGACAACACCAGGTGCCAGGAAAGATGATGGAGCACTCAAGGGAGGTGCTTTATGGTTTGAGGACAAACAGCCAAGGGCTGACCCAGCCTAACTAGGCACTGTGAGGTAAGAGGCTATAGGGACATGTCATACTTCTTACTGAATGGATACGAAGCCCCAGGAATTAGCTGATGTCATATAATTTTATATAATGAGATATGAATCTCTTGGAAACAGCCACCCAGGCATGCTTCAACAATAAGGCAGCCTTTACCAATTCAATGATTCACGGCTGTCTCAAAATCAGCAAGAATCTCTTATGGTAAAAAATCCATATTTGAACCACACAGTAGTACTCTTTGTTTTACTTCTTTTTTCTCTCTGATTTGCATAGTAAATTTCTCACTGAAGTCACCAGCCTCTTCTCCTGGATACTTTTTGCTTTTGCCTTTTACAGAACTGAAAAAAATCACTATTACATTTTTTTAAACTATTGAATTAAAAGAAAGACCTGCAAGTGAGTGGATTTTACAGATTAAAAAAATCATCATTTACTAATAAATACTGATCAATTAATAATATTTAAACCTAATATACATGTAAATGATGCTTCCTATTTACAGTAGCTCTGAACTTCTGTAATTTTTTTCCTTCCTTTTTTGGGGAAATATTTCTGGTTAACTTGTCCTTTCTTTGGAATATATTTTAACCTTCTTAGGTTTGTTATATGCTCTACATGTATGAAAACAAGCTGTAAATGAATTAAAAGTTTATATAAAAAGTGCAAGGGGCTTGCTGAAAATGTTTAGATTTTTTAAGGTCTCACCACAAACCATACTGTGCCATCTTTAGGTTTTAAAATGAGTATTACTAGCTTTTATGACCATTTCCTCCTTGAGTATAAACTTCATTCTATAACACTGTTTATTGAGAAGAAGCAAGTTCTTCTATCCCCAACCCTGGGGTGTAGGCAGGAACTCCTGAACTTCTTATTTATTTTCAAATGGACATTTCTGTTTTCTCACCATCACCTCTGCCCCAGGGTAACTACTCCATTTCATGAATTTGAACATTCAAGGGCTTACCTTTGGCTAACATCCACCTGTTAAGTCAAGCAGCCTGAAAGCTCACACATTCAGCTTTAATAAGCAAGTTTAATCCTGCCGAATCCTAATCCTGCATAGTACCTATATTGCCGCCCTTGATGTCAGTTGAGCTAACATGAACCGATATGTGGGGTAATATTTATAAAAGAAAAAGGTTCCTAACAGGTTGAATCTGATTTCTATTTATAGCCTGAAATGGTCTCAACACTTAAATACGTTTCAGATAATCACTAAATATTTGAAAATATGAGAAAGCTTTTCCTCTTAGAACAAGAGGTGTGGATTTTCATCTTTCTTTGAGTCTTATAAAACCAACAAAAATGGTGGAGACAACGGATTTTATGAATAAAATAAAAAGATCACCTAGACAATTATTTACTCTCAGTGTCTCTAGCAGTATTAGCTCCTAGGGTAGGAATTCCTATGAGTTCACACTGACTTGCACAGTACCTAGGCACTATGAGGGCCTTAGGAAATGCCTCCTAAAAATCAATGAATCATCTCTAGAACAGCAGCCCCTAATCTTTTTTTGAGTCCTGGACTTCTCTGAGAGTCAGATGAGAGCTGTGGACCCTGTCCATGGAAAAATTCATGTGTGCACAAAATGTTGCATGTGATCTCAAGAAGTTCAAGGACATCAATGAAACTCACCCCTGGTGTGGGGTTATGGACGAGGTACTGTTTAAGAGCTTGTATTCTAGGGAAAGGGCTGGCAAACTGCTGCCTGTGAGCCAAATCTAACCCACCCTGTTTTTGTATGGCCAGAATGGTAAGCACGGTTTCTATGTTTTTAAATGGTTGAAAAAAACAAAAGATGAATAATATTTCACAACACATGAAAATTATATGAAATTCATATTTCAATACCCATAAATAAATTCCATTGTGCTTATTAGACCTGTATTACAAAAAGTTGTAGATATTTGTTTTCTTTATTGTTATACAAGTACCTAAATAATATCCTCAACCTTGCCTCTTGTCCCACAAAGCCTAAAATACTTACTTAGTCATTTACAGAAAAGTTTGCTGACCCTTGTTCTAGAGGATTCCAAAAAAAATAAAGCACTCTCTCAGTTTCTGGAGTAAAGCACTAATTATATATAATTCTATTGACATGAATTTAACACTTGTGGCAAGATTTCACAAGTTGAAAAAGTTTGGCTTTAGAAACCAATACTAAAGTATTCACTAAAATGTCCTTTTAGTTACTAAAATTAGGGTTAACTATTTGTTTATAGAACAATAACTACTCCGTGACTAAGAATGGGGAGATAGATGGAATCTTGTGAAGGTAAAATTTTAGGAGACACCACATATTGGTCTTAAAAGATTCTGAAGCACCTTTGAATAATAATACAATTCAATGAAAAACTATGCCTCAAATAAATTGTCTAGTTTACACATACATTTTGGGAACATTGACTTATTACTTAAAATGGGTTATTCCTCAAGCTAGTATAAAGAAATAAAAATTAAATGTTATGCTAAATCAATGTTTGTGTTTCCCCAACAGCCTAGATATATCTGTAGTTACTGTAATAATATCCAAGGTCAGTTACAATTATTGTTAGATGAATGCAAAATACGTGAAGCCACTTCTCCTAATCCTGGCCTGAAGTCAACCTAATAACTGAGGCCTTCCCTCTCTGAGCTCCTGTCTAAAGGTAGATTACTAAACATTTTCTTTTATAGGATGGTAAACATTTGGTAACAGTTTGTTGACTTGATTTTAATACTAGAAAAGTAGCACTCAACTTTTACTGGCACTCATAATACCTTAATTTTATTGCTCATTTACAAGAATTTATATAGTATAAAAGGAAGCCCCTTTCACTGTTACCATGCATATTTCTATCCTTAGATAATCCCAAAACACATTGAAATGTATAATTTTAGTTTCCATCAGACTTTACTATCTGTTCACATGGATGACAACTGAATAATCTTTGTTTCACAGGTTTTGCTTGGTCATCTCCACACTCTTTGAGTGATATTCTGTGGAAACTGAAGTAGCCAAAAGGCACCCTGCAGGAGGCCCACATAACCTCCAGACTAGTTAATTGGTCCCTCAGTAATTGGGAGTTAACTTTATAAACAGACGCAAGCTGATAGTGGTGTTTATGTGCTAACCATACTTGTTAATGAATAAGTCACGGTGGCCCAAGAGAACTAAGGAAAAAAAAAAAAAATAAGTTCAAGGGTCAAAAGTGACTAGTTGTCCTCACCTAGACCTGGCTTTTCTGACCTTATTAATCACAGAAGTCTCCAAGTAAGAGGAAGCATTGAAGGTACGCAGTTACACAAAAGATCAATAGATTATT